ATTTCTTTAATTCATTTTTAACTCTTTTTATCACAACAACTTAAAAATTCATTTGCAAACTTATGTACATGCTAGTTTGATTGCCAATATGGGCCTTTTTTCCACAGCTTACACTGGCACATTTTCTCTCTGCGTAAGTATGTATGTAATAACATCAGATATGTAGTTGGTTTTTCGAATATAATAATTTTTTAAACATTTATTATGTATATATGCACAAAAATATTTTTTAATTTATATTGAAATGATAGTGCTATCGATGTTATTTTTTACCACTCTCTGTTGTTTAGGATTTCCACTTTGAGTTGAGCATTTTTTACCACTACTACTTTACACAATTCTCATACCGGAAACAACAATTGAATTCGTGAATTCTGCAATCTGTCGCTCTGTCGGTGTTTCTCGCGTATGATATATCTGCATTCATACATACTATGTAGCCTGAGTGGCGAGTTAGTCGCTCCAACCACACGTTAAGCGGGGCACAATAAATTTTTGTATAGTATTATATTTTTGTTACGACTTTGTACCGCGCCCTGCGTCTATTTGTCGAACGTTTAGAAAATGAACTAAGTGAATCCCCTGTTCCAAGCTAAGAAAGCGAAGAGGGCAAATACTTTCGAGCGTTTGTACAACTGTGGTATGTAATAAAACATGTGTATGTAGATACGTACATACGCATACATATATATTTATACATATATTCTTGGAAACAACTCCGTCTGCGACAGGCGTCTTGCATTCTATATAATTTTGAAATATTTTTCGTTTTATTTTATCTGCGCGAATACGTACATATACATATGTATATGTACAATTTTCAGTACATATGTATGTACATCTTTTTACATACTTAAAGTTTATAGTATACATATGCACACATAATATTGCATTTTTCGATTGTTAGCTTACACTATAGTATTTTCATTCACTTTTTTTAATTCTTCACAATTTCTACAATTTGAAACTTCCACGAGCACACAATGACGGTATCTGAAAAGTATCACACGTCACTGAAATTCAATTTTTATTTTCTTGTTCGCTTTAACCGAAACTGGAATTCCTCGTGCAAATTCTTTTGCTCGATAATTCGCCCGTTTATTGCAGTTCTCAATTTAGTTTATGCTGCCAATTCGCAAATATGCAGAAAGTTGTGAGAACCAATTTATTTCATGCGAATCACTTTACTATTTTTTCACCTCACTCTATTAATGAAAATTGTATAAAATCAAATTTTTATTGCCAATGGACTGGAGCATGTACGTATATTCCTCGATTTACAATTAATATACACATATGTATAACTTAAATTGTCTGAAATTATACATTTTACAGCAAATGTCAATATATACATGCATATATATATATATATTATATTTGAATATTTATATATACGAGTATATATTATATACATATATTAACGTAAATCTATTTGAAGAGGAGTGTGTGTATATTTTATTGTATTTAAATAATATGATCTTAGTGAAAAAATTACACTACGACACCGCTTACTAAGTTCGACTAAACTATTCGATTTGAATGTTAGAATCACACTATTCATGTCAGACTTCAGCGCTCCACTTTGGTACGTCTTTCTACCGAGCGAGCAATGAACATTCACTCAACTGCCACATCCACTAGACTCCACAATCAATCCACCGAAGTCAGCTACATACGAACAAATGAACGAATGAACATACAGATATCCACCAAACCAGACCAACCATCCAGTTAACTCATTGCGTTGAGGCAGTCCAGTAGACCGGTCGATAGCTCCGCTATCACTTCTAACGCTTTCCGCACACTTGTTTCTTATACACTCTTAGTTGTCTTGTGATAATATGCACGGGACATCGAGAGTACTCGTTCATTTATAAAAGAGAATTCGACAAAATGAGCGTATATGAACCTAAATAAACTCGGTAAATTGTTGGAACGGCAAAAGTGTGGCAGCCGAACCTGTTTTCTTTGTTGCGGGCAACAAGACTTCAGTACCGCATATTTTTTTATTGGAATGCACTGTAATGGAATTTTCGGTGTTTCAACTGGAAATTATTCTTGGGTAGCTGCTGTTCACTCCCAATCTCTGTCATCTTGTATAAACATATGTACATATGCACCTATCTACATACTTACATATGTATGTATGGTATTTACTTTGCTTCCATTGTGCTTTCAAAGCATGATTGTATTACAATTTGTATAAAGAGGATATAATGATTTATGATTTTCATAATTTGGCTATTTTGTATTAAACAAGATTTAGTTTCGATTTTGAAATATTGTTTTATATTGATTTTTCAGAGCGGGCATACATACATAAGTAAAAGATAACATTTCACCCATGGCACGCTTTATTTTACCTACATACGCACATACATATAAGTATCTTAAAAAATTAAATGTAATTTTTGTATACATACAAGTACATACATACATATGTATCTATTTTTGATATTTTAAGGAGCGGGTTGATTTGAGAGCATAAATGTGAATACTCATCCACCTAAAGCCCCAGAACGAGTTAACTGACTCAAAATCAAACTTATGAGAGCGCTGTGAGTATGAAAACTCATCATCATAGGATTTTCCAATTTCTTTTCGTATCAAAGCTGCAGGTTCTTTTTGCTTTCTCCGAAACAGTATTACCATATTCGACATTTTAAAATATTTACAATAGTTTAGAACTAATAAATTATTTAAACACTATTTTTTTCAAATATGATATTATTATCCAACAAAGTTGATATCTAGAATGACACTGCGATTACAGCGATTTTACTACTTTCAGAACCTTTTTTGTCACTTTTTTTCTGTGTCTTCAAATGGAGCCGTTTTTCCATGATTTTGTTTTTCAAACATACCTATGACGGTATAAAATAGTTGCTGTTGATGGTACGAAACTATATGGCTAAGTTTTTAATTAACACTCTCGGGATGAATGCCCATTTTTATAAGCAATTTTAGCTTGAAGACAAACGTGTTAGCACGTTTTTCGATTAGTATCGATAACATTAATATCTGCTGATAAAATATTTAATAGATCTCTTATACCTGCTTAAATAAGAATTATATCGAAGTCGAAGCATTATTTGATTATAACCTGTATCGATAATTGATTTTGAAAATACAACGAGGGGTCTGAAAATGTGATTTATAATTGCAACCGGGCACTACTTCTACAATTTTATCTGGAGTTTCAATTAATTTGTGTCAACTAATTGTTGAATTCCAAAGTGTATTTTAATAAATATTTAGGTACAATATTTACATATGTGCATATATCCAAATAATTCATGAGATAAAATATTTAGTACATTCTGAATAGTCTCATAAAGTTTAAGCACATTCACGGAGCTTTTGCAGTTTTATGTTTCTGTTGGTAACATTTTACATAATTTTCACTGCTGCAACTAAGTTTTTTATGTGGCTACTACAAAGATCCACTGTGTGGCGAAATAATATGAAATGGAATAGTTCATTCTCGAACACTGCTACAAGCTATTCCTTAACAGTTTTTTAAAGGTATTTATGACCTAAGACTTGTATATCATTCTACATAATTTAAAAATAATCTTAAGAAACACATTTAAACTTCTGATATAAGATGCATTCTAGAAAATGAGCAGAGTGTACTTATAGATACATATATATAAGTACTTACAATATACGAATTTGACACCGGATGCCAGTTAAGGAGGAAACACTATACTATACCTAATTGATATAAACTCAACCAAAGGGGCTCAATTTAAAATATTGGGTATATGAGGAAAAAGCCAATCAAACAATCGGAAGGCATTATACGCGTATTAGGGATATGATGTTTAGAAGATTACATTATGTTCAATAATACATGTGCACTTGATATCATTAAAATATCACACCTCTAGTCCAACATAAACAGTTTAAAGTCAGATGGATATCCGGGTATATTGGAGATAGGAAATGGTCTGGACCGATTAACTATTGAAATTCCTTAAATATACTCAAAAACATGTTTCCATGCAATTTATGAAGATTTATCGCACACTGGCTGGTATATTCGGCGATTTCGTACAATTTCGGCGTCAAACTATATTAATACCAATGCCCATTATCCATTAACTTTCAAACCACAGATTCTTCTCCATTTATCGACGCCCTGTACCAAATTACAGTTTGTATTATAATTTTTCATTTTGGTTGCCAATGAATACGTGTATCAAGTTTCATCGCGCTATCTCAATTTTTAATCAAGATATCTCGTTTACGAACGGGTCGACTGTCACACGGTATACAACTTGCCTCGACTCTTTTTCTATCTCGACTAGTTTTAGGTATTACAAACAAATAACATAAAATATATCAAAAAACATAAGCAGTTATCCAATTATAAAATATGATGGGTAAACGTGTTAAAGTTGAAGGTCGTTGAATTTAGTATGAGTATAAAATATTTTGAATTAAAATTCTTTGATTAATTAAATACAGAATAATGCTGCAAATAAAAATGATAGTATAAATCGAAAGTTTCTCTTGTAAGGAAAATCTAATTGATACAATTTTAAATTGGACGAGAGTATATTACTTTTTCTTCTTCTTCTTTTAAAATGTTCAAAACTTGGTGTTTAAACTAAGCCTAGCCTAAATTTCTGATCGATATCTCAAAAACTGAGTGACTGGTGCGTATATATAGATAAACGTATATATATATATATCTTTATATATATATATATACTTTACAGGGTCTCCGACGTATCCTTCTGGGTAAGCTGTTCACAATATAAAAAGTAAAGTAAGGTAGGAGTAATTTCTGCACTATATTTGTGTGAATTCGGCAATGAGTCAATTTGACAATTTATGCATCACCAATGTATTGTACTTTCGCAAACGACATTGTTCAGCATACTTGTACAACTACTTTGCTCAAAATATGCCACGTGAATAAGAAATATTCATGGTAAACGGTTGAAAATGTACACAGAAGTATATAAAGTAGCAATAAAGCGTTCGCTTACCTCGATGAAGTTTGCCTTTGCCAGAAATGTTTAGTATAATGCCTGAATCAAATTTTTGCTGTTGCTGTTGCTGGTGATAATGCGCCTGAGGTTGTTGAAGCTGTTGTTGGTGACGTAGTTGATGATTTTGGGTTTGATTATGATTTTGATTCTTTGCTTTTGCGTTTTGTACTAACTGATGATTGGTCGTACTGACTTTCGCCACTGGAACAGTGGTTAATGTTAGCGGTCGAGTTTGATTTTGTAGTGTATTCTGATACTGCTTGGAATGTAAAGACTGCGAAATGTTACTCCGTGTAGAGCTGAGGGTTGCTTGATTAAATGGCACACATTGTGGATTGACTACGGTCTCCACTGATGCTGCATTTAAAGCTGCGTGACCATGCGTTGGACAGAAAGTGTGTAGTTCTCCATGTGGGTCGATAAAAAAAGGTGCTGCCTCTAAAAGTGGCCACGGAGTGGATCCATTACCAACCGTGGTTACTGTGGCTGAAGTGGTGCATGGTTGCTGCCGCTGTCCAAAAGTTCTACTGGCGTCGGCTACTAGAGTTGGAGTAGCTAGTGAAATCAACTGAACCGGGTACAGTTGAGCTTGCTGCGTCGGATTGGCGACGGCCACGGGCAAGGCGCTTGTTTGGATTGCAACAGCAACTGAACTGGGAGCACTGTTCAGATGAGTTTGCGATATATTTCCCAATTCATCGCAATGTTGAGAATGTTCGTTAGAGGATATTACAAAATTGTGGACCTGTTGTAAATTTTGTATCAATGATGAGCAGTAGTGTTGATGTTGAAAATAATTTTTGAAATAGCTTGGTTGAACCGTTGGTAAGACTTGCAGCTGCTGTTGTTGTAAGTTAGTTTTATGCACAGTAGTTGTAGTTGCTAATTGTTGTGGGCGCGATAGCTGCGGTTTAGGCAGTTGTGGCTCTTGTTGGTAATAAATCGCTGTCTGCTCATAGGCATACATTGATGACGAGGCAGTAGTTGTGGATGAAGTTGGTTGTGATTTTTTTTTTGCTGGATGAAATGATGGAGCCAATGGCGTGAGTTTTGATTTTAGAGCTTTCAGTGCTAATGCCATAGATGGTGTGGAATTTTGGATTGTTGACATCGATTGTTCTTTACTGCGTTTTAATGACTCAGTTTGGGCATGAGATTCAATTGAAACTGAATCAGTTGTATCAATCGTAGTTAATATTTGCTTGTTATTTTCGGGGGGATGTATCTTTGATCTATTTAAAATTTGAGTTTTTCCTTTGGAGTAACCTTTGTTATTATTGTTATCCAAAGTCTCATGTAAGTTCATATTCGCATATTCGGAATTCAATGGTAAAGGCTCAATAACTAATTCACCAGAACAATATATATTTTTCTCGTCATTATCGTTACTAGAATGGTGCGCATCTAAATTAAATGATGACGCAACAGGTAAATCTGGTTGCTCTTGATTCTGTACTATTGAATGACGTTCATTATTAATAATTTGATAACTTTCACCGATAAATGCCACCAACTCTCGACAAGATAAGTTCATTTCTTTATTTTGATCTTTGTTTTCCTCTTCCGTATCTTTCCAAGGACTATCACATTTCATTTCCTCACCATGTTTACAAAAACTTTCATTTGCACAATCTATAACATGTTCTATTATCCGGAAATTGTCATAGTCAATAATGCGTTCTTGATACGTGCAATTTGCTAAAGTTTGGTCACAATCAATATTAAATTGTGTTGCATCATTACAAGTACATTCAACAGATTCCAGAAATTTTTCAGTATTAGAATGTGTTTTGCATCCAAAAATATTATCAGAATTTATAACAGATTGCTCAACTCCCAAAATACTAACCGGTTTCTTAAAAGCATTATCGCATTCAGTGAGACTTTTTGTTTCAGTGTCATCACTACTTCTACTACATTCACTCTTCATGCCTATAAAGTCCATTTCCCTGAATAAGAAATAGTTGTCTTCTTCCAGCACATCCTTCTCACTGTCGTTTTCACGTTTTCTATCCAGTGCAATTGCAATAATTCCTTCGCTTTCGTCGCAGATCTCATTAAACATTGAGCTCTGCTTTCGTGTTTTTGAAGACAAAAAATCCTTCTGATTGTTGTGCTCTTCCCTAAGTTCAGCGTTTACTCCTTGCTGTTCGTGTACTTTTTTTGTCAAAAATACTTGCCCTGTGTTACACATAGTATCAGTCTGAGTGCTATTATCAGCGCATTGCATCCTTGTCAATCCGACGGCTGTAACAATTCTTTTTGAGCATTCATCCTTATCATCACAGCTAAGTGATCTAGCTAAAGTAACAGATGGTGTATGAAATATTTGTACAAAAGGCAAATTGGATCTAAGCGACTGGTTCCGAATGGTTGATATCGGAATCGCTGAGAGTGCTTTTGTAGGTTTTGAAGAGCGTAGCATCACTTTAGAGTTTGGCGTATTCTTTGATACTTTAGCTTTTACAATATTCGTATTTTTCGCGAAAAAAGACGACCGATGATCTGTGATTACGGTCTGCGATGAATCAATAGTGTGAGATGACGCAGCGATAGCGGACATTTGGGTGCTTACGACGGTGGCCGCCATATGTTTGAAATGCAAATTAAGTAGTCGCTTCTGCGACTGGCCCTAAGTTTCTACATTATAATATGAAACCATGCGATCTTGGTGCTTGTATAATAGTTCAACATTCTTTATATGCATTCAGGCGAGTTAAACTTAATTCCTTTTTATTGATCTTTTTTAATTGTATCCTTTGTGACTTTCTTGCTTATAGTTTAAATGAATTTATACTGGCAAAATAAAATTAGTCATTTACATTTAGATTTAATACTAGCCATTTTCGATTTATAATAATAAAAACCATATTTAAATTTGCTTGTATGCATATCGATGTTCTGTTGCCAATGCGTCTGAAATAAGTAAATGAAGAAAAAATTTATGTATACATATGTATGTACTTATATCTATATATACAACAAATCCGTCGATGAATCTTCAATCAATATGTTTCTACGTATGAATACATTGTGCTACATTTGCACCAGAAGCACATTATTTATTCTTACCTTTGATAATTTGCATTATTCAAATATTCACCGTTATATATTTAATTACGCCCATCTTTTTTTACAGACCCTCCTTTAAATGTAACATGTAACGTGCATGTACTAATGTATATATTCTAAAAAATACTATTTTGTAAATATCTATGTACATATATGTGCATATGCGAAAATTTACTTTAATTTCGACAATAACCACGAACTTTTTATTTTATACACCTCAAATAAATGTTTCGGAGAATAAAAAAGGTATAAATATTATAAATACCAGTAGTACTTTGAGATATAAAATTATGTCACACTTACCAATGTTTATTTTGCACATATGATAGTACATACATACATATGTATATAAGTAAGTAAAAAACAATTTATATTTATAAGTAATAGTAAAAACTATATCAAAAGTTAGCACAATTTATATCAAAAAAACTATTTTACTGTGAACATATGTTTGAATGTGCAGATTATATTCACAGACGTAGACTCGAATACAAATAGGAAGAGATGCTTTGTATACATCCGTTTGCTTCATGGATTCCTGAATATTAGTCGAATGTTTCTCGTTATATGTTCGTATATTACATGTGTATTTGTATATATTAACATACACATGCGAAAATTAGAGCTTTCACCTTATTCACCATTTATAGCACAGCGCATCGGTAGTTTAAGTTAACTCTTAATTTTTAAATTATTTTATTAGGAAGTAATATTATATTTGCTCTTTTTAACTATCTACTATACATTTTTCATAATAAATAAATATCTGAAAACAGATAATGATATTTCGTAATTGGATCCTAATAAGGTCCCTTGAGTACTATTGTATGGTAAATTTCTTAAGTAGATTTAGTTGATTAAACATGGTGAATAAAAAAGTATTAAAAGTCTGGTTTATTTATTCTGACCGGAATTTATTCAACGGAAACAACATTTACGCAACAAGTTAGGTGGATATTTTGCCAGTGAAACCTTTCTGCTATAAATACTCGTAAATGCGCCATAATAGTCATATGTCCCGTTCTATCATACTAACATACATATTTATGTATATAACCCAGTATATAACGATGTCATTTTGGTGGTTAGATAAACTGATTATAAGATACATATGTGTTTATTGTTGTATATTGTTTTTTTTTTTTGCGCCTCTCACTAGTCTAAAATGTTTATAAAATTATATAGCCCACAATTTCTATCATAACCAACGGGTTAAAAATTGTCTTAACCAGAGAAGTTACGCAAACTTTTCTAAGCAAATATCCATATTACATATGTATTCACATACTATAATATATATAAAGAGTTTAATAATTCTGTTTACTGTTTTTCGGGAATCTAATTTTTGAAAACAAAACAAATCATAGTAGAATGGAATCCATTGGAAAAGAAGTATAAAATAACAAACATTAAAGGAAAAATAATGTACGGGATACTGATGTCGGGAAAAGGAAGGTGAAGAGCGTGCTTGAGTTTTTAAAGGTCAAAAGCGAGTTAATTAGATTTCCGGCAAAATCACGAGTCCTATAGAAAAAAGGTATGGGGCAATGTTATAAGTAATGAAAGTATTTATAACATTTACATACATATATACAGATATGTTTACATAACCTCAAACTTCCTTTAAAAATTTCAAATAACCAGGTTTCTCCATTTTTGATTTTTATCTTGTACAAAAAACAATATTTTTTTACGAGATTTGGTGTACACTTACATTCCTATGGCCCACATACACAGTATTTTTTTTTTCATATTTAAAATATTAAGCAGAAAACCTTACTTTGACTTAAACTCGAAAAACACCCTAATTTTCAATTAAAAGATCTAAAGTGAAAATTTCAATTTTTTAAAGACAGTAGACTTTATGTTTCTTGAAATTTCTACTTTCTGATGGTATAAAAAGTATATACCATACATTGCTATGGTAAATTTTTATAGAAAATGTAAAAACAGACCCCATTTTAATGATATAAACGGTTGAAGTTTGGCTATTTTAAGGCAAATTGTTTTTTTTTCTTTTAAATTTTATAACTCAATGAAAAAACATCATTTTAAATTGCAAAGCTTATAGTTTTGTAGAAAATTTTCTGCTCTGCCAGAAATGGTCTTTTTTTCCCTTTTTGTTTTTTTGTGTTTTCCTTTGATAGGCATTGATGTTTGATATTCAGCGTCGTAAACGCGTAACTTAATCGAAAAATTATAGAGATAAGTTTTGTATAGGAGACTACCAGTACAAGACTATGAACTTTGCAATTTAAAATGATGATTTTTTTATGATGCCTTAAAATAGTCAAACTTGACCCGTAATATATTTTAAACGGTTAGGTTTACGAAAACACCGTAGGAAACCATTTTGTAGAGCATTCAATTTCCTATAAAACGAAGTATATTTTAAAGTAGTTGGAAGCGAGATATGAATCTTTCCATCTGATCATAAAAAAAAAAAACAGCGGAGGACCTTCCCGTTACAATTACGCGCATAGATACTTGGAGAGCGTTTTTAAGAGGTGTTTACCAACCAATTTTTCGGAGTACCAAGTTTTACCTACCCTAATATACATACATATATGTATATACAGTAATAGACAAAAGTGTTCACAAATATATGTAATTTGAGTTTCCTTGTTATTTCATCAATTTGATAGTAGTCAGACAATATCTTTCGATTGTAAATTCTTAAACGTTGCATTAATTACCAGCTGGTATCGAACCAAACAGAAATGGCGTGTAAAAGTTTAGTTGCTTTATGAGCAAATATGCTTTATCTGCTTTAAAGTACAACGTGCTGGAAGATATAAAAAATTATGTTTCTTACCGAGAAATCGCGAAAAAATTTAACATTTTTGTTGGACTTATCAATAAAATAATTTAACAGTGCTACGAAAGAGAACAGCTACGTGCATGTAAATTCGTGCAACAGTTAGAGACAACTTCTGCGGGCGGACACTTTTGTAGCAAGAGCGCTGTGGAGTGACAAAATAGTATGAAGATACCTGAAAAATAACGGGCTCAAGTCTAAAAGGTCTTGATGGTAAAAAAGCTGTTCTTAAGTGATAAGCATCGCAAAGCTTGATTAGAGTGAAATTAATTCAACAGGATCAGATGGGCACGCATGGACATGGACTGACAAATAGGTTGGTGTGAAGGATCGCTATATATGTATGTCAAACAATGAAATTTAAAGGTGAACCACTACATATTATATTGATATTTTGGAGGACTCAATCTCTATCTTCCAAGTCTTATTATATATAGATAGCGATCTGAAACACACTACAAAAATTACCAAATCGTGGTTTGTGGATAATGGGATCAAACTGCTCGACTGGAGTTACGAGGTAAGCGAAACGAACTAAATAAAAGTATATTCGAAAAAAAAACGAGAAAGAGAAACTTCAATAATACACGAAATAGTAATTATGTGTGTACATATAAACATATTGTGAGATATTTGTAGACCTTTCAATAATTTTTACTACAGCAATGATAACTTTGTAGTTACTTATTTACCAGGTACGAGACTAAAGAAATCTGGCCACTGGCCATATGTTAATACGTAAATACTTATTTATTAATATATAAAAAACACACTGGTCCATTTATATTTATTTCAATGTGTTAGATTTCGCTCAAGTAAAAATGTTTACAAACAAGTAAGAATGTTTCCTTATAAATTATGTTCAAGCACACATACTTATGTATGTATGATATATATACATGTATGTATGTACACAGAATGATGACTGCTGTTCGAATTCAAAATGACGTGGCAAAGCTAGAAAAAATTAATGGCGAACTGACGAAGAACTTGTATTGTTGCCAGTTATATACACATACGCTTATAAATATAATTTTATCTATTTGTCAAAACACTCACTTATATTTTTATTTTCCTAAGCTCAGTTTACCCGTATAATTTATGCATTTTTTCCGACAATCACATTCACTTTCCTTTGCATTTACACAGCTTTCCAGTAATTTTTAGGTTGTTTTGTATAAGTATTACATGCCTTTATCGCAATTTCTTCTAGTTTCTGCTACATCCAACATTTGTGAAATTTACTTTGTACATGGAGCACTATATTATATACATATATATTTTGTTACTTGTGCAATGCAACGTTATTAATGTAATTGTTGCACCAAACCAGTTAAAACACAAATTCCAGCATTTTGATGAGCGGAGACTTAAAATGCCAAATTCACTTGCGACAACGGACACGGAATACGTTTGATTAACAACAGCGAGAAAATGGAAAAGTGCATTAGGCACCGTCTTCGCATGTGGAATGTGAAAAATGAATACCAACAACGCGGCACCATCAGGGCTATGCTTTTGCTGCGTTGGCGGATCCGAGTTTTGCCAAAATACGCCACTATCATCCAAAGGCCACAAGTAAAGTTTTTGTTAGAGCAGAAAAATATTTAAGTCAACTCTTTGGCATTTGCAACTGAATACAAAATCAAATATATGTACATATGTATATTTTGCATATGAATGTACAACATTTTTATATCAAAGGTCCATACGTAAAGTCACTATATCAGAGAATGCAAATTCTCTGACATTACTTTACCAAAATATGTACTCTTTTGTGGAATCCATGTTTGCAAGCGAAGCAAATCGCAAAGCTCTTGTGTACGAAACTTTAAATACAACACATTTGTACTGATATCAAAAAGTTCGGTTGTTGCAAAGAGAAATACACATCATTTTTAAGGATTTTCATTTACTTATTTATTGTATATAAATATATGTATAAGTATGTGGTCATTCAGATTAATCCAACCGCTGAAACCGGGTGTATAACTATACCAGAGAATGTTGATGAATAGAGAAGGAGCAAATGTTAACTGAAATCTTTTTGAGTACTAATTTGTAATTCCACATGAGGGAACATCGAAAAATATAACTTCGAAAAATAAAAATACACCACGCAATGTGCGAAATGGTATAAATAGACACAACCAGAGAATGTTGATGAATAGAGAAGGAGCAAATGTTAGCTGTTCTAAAATGTTAATTACGATGAAGGAACATCGAAAACGCGCAAGTTCGAAAATAAAATTTCACCACAACTATCAGGGTACGAAACGAACTACACCACTCTATAAGCAAAATATATACACATGCATATGCACAGATGTTCTTTGATATGCGCATAAACAAAAATTGAAATAATAAAAACGAAAGTAATTGACCTCCGACAAGAAAATATAAATAATGAGGGAAATAATATTAAAATAGAATTCAAATATCATTTAATAAAAAAATTTCAAGAATATTCACATATAGACATATGAACATTGAAGCAAGTAAACAACAATAGCTGTTTCAGTTCACAGATTAGACAAAGTAGCTTGAATATCATCTGTGGTGCTACTTGTATAGCACACTTCCTTATTGCAATGAAATGTTTTGCCTAAGTTCAAATCCTATCATATTTTTATATACTATTTTTTATTTTTAATAACCCTTTTTTATTGAATGATATTTTAATTATATTTTCATATTATTTCCCTCATTATTTATATTTTCTTGTCGGAAGTCAATTACTTTCGTTTCTATTATTTCAATTTTTGTTTATGCGCATATCAAAGAACATCTGTGCATATGCATGTGTATATATTTTGCTTATAGAGTGGTGTAGTTCGTTTCGTACCCTGATAGTTGTGGTGAAATTTTATTTTCGAACTTGCGCGTTTTCGATGTTCCTTCATCGTAATTAACATTTTAGAACAGCTAACATTTGCTCCTTCTCTATTCATCAACATTCTCTGACTATACCAATGCGGTTTGATGAGAAGGTGGGAAATAAAAAAAAATTTTTTTGATGTTTAATTTTAAATAAACAAACAAGATTTTAATTAGCTTTATCATTTTAATATTTATCGCTGGTGATACATACATGTATGTATGTATGTACATACATATTTGTATACATACATATGTATGCTATCATGTCTATAGAATTTAAATATGTGTTACAAATCAAACAAATTAACAAACAATTTGGAAATTTGAAAATAAATCAAAATAAGTTGCTTTCACTAAGATTCGTGTATTTTAAACCATTTGCTAGCTGATTTTTTTGGGTTTGATTTGTCGTTTAAGTAGCCAAGCGGTATAATCGTTTTTAATTCTTTTTGCTTTGGATTTGCGCAGGCGTGCACTAATATAATCATCCCGCTCACGCAACCAAATACGTGCGTACTCCCAGCCCATGAGCCAGTTCATCGGAATAGGACAAGGCTGTGAAATCGAAGTATTATTAAATATTAAAAAATAATATATAATATAGAAATGTATGTATATACATATGTACATATATATGCACATTTGTAATGTGCCATAGTGAAATTAGAAGAGGTCCAGTGACGTAATTTCGAATCGTTTTAATATAAATTAATTATTCCATGAATTCTGATTAAAAGAGAAAGTATAGAAATAGTTTTGCCTAATGAATAGTTATTATAAGTAATTAGGTACATGTGGTACACTTTAAAAAGCCTAAAAGCAAATAAATAGGTATTAAGGAATGTTCCCTGAAGCTTCTAGAGCTAATTATCATATACTTATGTAAATATACATATGTATATTTAAATCTGCAGTTTTATATAATATCACTTGGCAATCTGACCTTTCAATTCGTATTTCTGTTGCAACAACCACTACTACTAAAGCAACTATTTAATTAAATTAGTTTATCGGTGCATGGTCCTATAAATTTAAAGATAATTCTTTTTATGTATTGTACATCGAAAAGTACATTTTAAAACTGCGTTTTTATTAAATGTGTGTTAATCCTTGAATCTCCCTCTCTAAGGAAGTTAATAAACATGTTCCCCTTCCTATTTCAAACATTCTTTCCTGACACAAAACGTTTAAGATCATCAAACATAATAAATTCGACTATATTGCGAAGTATTTGTTATTATTACTCTATCATAGTAATCCCTTTCTAAAGGAATAAGTACGAAATTTGTCCTATAATCACAGATCCAAAAAATGTATCACCTTGATAACATACTCCTATGGTCTTTAAGTACTTATTCTATAAAAGTAATACCTTGCTGAAGGAATAGTGCAAAAATTGTTATTATATTAACCTCAAAAAAGAATGATGAACATTTTTTTGGTTCTACTATCTAAGTTTCTTTGGTTTCACCATGATAACATACTCCTACGTCCACATACGTACATAGCATGCAAGAACCATAGAGCAGGATACATCAGGTAAACTTTTGGTTTCTATAGTGTCAAATTTTTACAACAACTTCACTATTTAAGAAGCCTAATTAAATGATAAAATCTAAATTTCATCTCGATTGCGTATAAATGAAATTTCGGAACCTACGTCATTCTCGTAAGATGGTACGAATTTCTTTTGTTTTATGTAAACATGTGACTGCAAATTATCGCGTGGCCGCACTATAAACGCTTTCGACCATTCTGCTTTCATTTTCACTTTATATGATTACAAGACAAGACAAAACAATGTTTTACACTTTTTAATTTTGAAAGTAATATAATTTTGAAAAACAATAACTTAAGTGACTTTAAAATCTGAACTGGATTTTTTCAAAATATTTTGATAGTAATCAAAAGTGAATACTGTTTAACTGATTTTTATATATTATATATTTATTTGTATTTATGTATTTTTAATATTATAATTAGCTACAATAGAGATTCAGCTTGTTGTCACTTCTGCCTTATTAAATACATTTCGGTTTCGCAGATCGTAAATAAATGAAAATCTAATTACCTCACATTGGTATGCATTATACAATAGTACAACACTGGTATGCTTGTAGTGTATATTTCTAATACTGTTGGGAGTTTGGTTATTGCATATACTGAAATAATCAGAAAAAAATTACTTTTGAGTATTTACCATAAACATTAAGTGGAGGAGGTGAGGTTTCTTCTAAGGTCCACCCACACAGCGGCCTTACTGTATAAAAAATTTTTGCAGGTTCCAACCTGAGACTTGAAATATTATAGCTCGATTTCATTTTTAGATATGTACGTGGTGTCAAAGTTTAAAGGCATTAGTTGCCCCTTACAAAGTTTTATTCCGTTATCTTCATTGGTGTTTGACTTAGGTATATATGCACATACATACATAAGTATGTATATTAAAGCGGGTTGATTTCCAAGGAGCCAAAAAAATGGAAAAATCGCGTATACGAAAAATGTTCCACGGATCATTCTGAACATATTTGCCTGAGAGAATATGGGTCGGGTATTGGGTATTGGGAATATATAACAGTCGGATCTACGTAACCGGAACGGATCCGAATTTTTTCCGGCCAAGGACTGGCAACTCGACAAAACTCTGCCGCTATAACAACAACAACAACAGAATATGGGTCTAAAACCGGTTTCGAGCAAGCGATATTTTAAGCGAAGTTTTTTTCGGAATTATACAAATTTCTAATATAATAGAAAAGTTTTAGAAAAGGGCGAGTAATGATAAAAAAAATTTGCCAATGGAAACTATTTTTGTGCAATACGTACAAGAATTTTTTGGGAATGTTATATGAAAGGGAATGAGGAAATTGCCCGACTCGAGTTGATGGAGTCGTGTCGCCCGTGTTAACGCAACGAGAGACACCAATAGATTATTTGAATGACAAAATAGTGTAAGCCCAATCTTACAGAATCAAATAGACGGGCGAAGATGTTAAAGTTATCTAAAGGTACATCCCTACAAGAACAGTGAAAGTCATCTGACCGATAAAATGACAGTCACAGCTGAAAAAATTTTGTCTGCGCGCAGAACAAAGTTTCTATCATTTTCTTATGAGCCTTGTGCAAAAACTGATGAAAACAAACGCATGTGTGTGATTTTGCATCTCTCTTTAACACATGGATATTCGGGATTGATTCAATATACATATATCTATACTGCTCACTCTCATGTCTTTTCCTGAGTCTTTGCTGATCATAAAACCATCAAAGCTGAAAATTGCCAGTTATGACTGTAACTCTATCACAAGTGAAAAATTCTTTATATATAATATTTTATATAAAATTGTTTTGCGCAGTTGTTGAGTAACATATATGGCGTTTTATGCGTCCCTTTTTGACAGGGTTGCTTTTGCGCATTGAAATAAGTGTTGAAAAGTGATGATTAGTGTTGATAAACGTTTTTTTACAACCATCAACATGACAGTCATTTTACTATTCATTTGACTGTCAGTGGTGACACTCAGTTGACAAGTAAACTGTCCGTCACGACTGACATAAAAAATGTAAGTGTATTGGTGAACCCATCAGCAGTTTCTGATACACAAATGTATACACATATGTAAGAACCCCTAAGCCGGTGTTCACATGGGGACTCTTTTGTCGCTCATTATCGGCAAATTTTCTTTTGATGTCGTTCTATGCGTTCACACGAGCGAAAAAAGTCCACAAACTCGAGGCGAGTTATTTTTATAAAATTTTCTCAAATGATTGTGCGGTTCGGCTATACGACATTTAGAACGTGTTGCGTATTTCACTTAGATGTTGGGATGGTGATCTCACATTTTGCTCACTAGGAATTACCATGAATGGGATAGAACAATATTTATAATACCCGATATTAATGTTTTCAAGGAAAAACTTATAAAGGAAATTCGCTAATCCACCATGTAATGTATTACATACCCGCTATTAATATTTTCAAGGCCAAATTTATGACGAGAATCTATCTAATCTATCGTGAAGTATGGTATATACCCGTAATTTTTTCTATTTACTACAAAACATTCATGAATTAATTATATTTCTTGTTTTAAATAAAATGATATTCGATTTCTATCCTTTGCCTTTAAAAGAAATTAATATAAACCCATCTTAATATATTTAGGCAAATATAAAAATGTAAAAGTTACTCCATTTTTATTAAAATTCAGGTATATATATTATTATGTTTAATACTGCTAAATGTTATTTAATATTTAAATTAAATAGTTTTGAGTTTCTTATTTTTATTCGTATTCATAATTTTCCAAAATATTTATATTACTATATACCTAATTGCATATCAAAACGAATGCAGAAATGTGTAACAGCGAGCTGTTACGAACAAGAACACAAAGCGTGCTACCCGACCTTGAGCGGAACGGTCCCTTCGTCTTTCTTCGTCATCCCCTCGTCCACAATAAACAGGTTTTGGGCGAAAAAGAGTCCGTCAACATGATTTTCGGTTCTCTTTCACTTTCATCACCAATCCAATAAATCATTTTACTCAATGCAACCAATTGTTATTAGGTAGCAAAGTACCGAAAACGAACAATTTTGATTTGCACTATTACTTTCATCGTAATAACATAACGGTACTTTCCATAGCAAACGTACCGAAAACGAACAATTTTGATTTCACTATAGTTACTTTCATCGTAATAACATATGTAAATGTACTTTTCACAGCTAAGCTATCAACAGACCACGTGTACTCCTATCAAAAAACTAAAACTAATAAATAACTTTCATTCTTTATTCGGTTGGGGCTTGATTTACACATAAGTACATTATACAGGTATTCGTGATCATTGAGATTCAGTCGTGGCGCCCAAAAACGATGTCAATAAGCAAACTACTGAACCGCCACCGTCTGTTGTTTGTACATTTTTGCTATTTCCTTTCACATTCTATTTGTTTGTTTGGCTGACGATGCAAATGCACTTGTGTTCGTGAGTCGTTAAAATACGTACAACTGCGACGAAGTGGTGAGGTGACTCAGGCAAAGCCAGTGTACGCGTAGTCAAAACAAAAAGTAGCAATCACCTACTTACATATGCAGAGCATTATAAATGTACGTACATGGGGATGTGTGCAGATTCACACACATATTTATGCGAACGCACATTAATATCTACATTCACCCATATGTATGAATGTACATTTATTTTTGTGAAAACAACCGCAAACGAACGGCAGCGTACGTCGGTGACGAAAGCAATGGAAGCGCATTTTTTGCGTTAATGCTGACGTCCAATTCGACTTCGGTGTCAGCGCCAGCGTTTGTTTATACAATATTGAGCGACTCTTGGTTGGTGTCGTTGGGTTTATTGTTATTGTTCCTGAGTAAACAACATGCAACAATAACAATTTCACAATACTAGCTCATTACTACGGACGAAATGCATACCCATTTATTCATAGATACTATAATATATGCGTTCATACATACATACCTGCACCCATACATACATCTTTGTACATTATATTGACGTGGTTTTATTTGTTTTTATATACATATAAGAATGGCTCTAGTTAAGACTTCACCTCCCAACACTCACGGTTCTCCCAACATAATTCATATGCTACGTTATTGTTATTGATGGTTTATTATTGTTTTTTCCAGTTTTTTTAATTATTACAGCAAAACAAAAATATCCACATCTACTCATCCGTATTCTCCCTATGCTCTTCGCTCTTCTTTTTTAAAGTAATCAGTCAACGACCACCGCGTTCGTTGGTTCGTTTCGCAGTTGCCCGCGTCGGTCGCTGCTCTCTCGAACAAATAAAATATTCTTACGGTGTTGTTTTGTTATGTTTATGTTTTATTGTTGCTTCTTTTAACATTCCCCAACACACACACACGTATTCAAACAAACATACGTTTATTTTCATTCATTTGCTGTAAACAACACTTCGTCATCCCTCACTCGGTCTTCATCGAAACAATACTCTGCTCTGATAAACAGCGACGTCAGCAGTTAACTCCAGATACAAAACCATTCAACGCCAGGCATACTGCCTCTGCCGCTATGTGGCTTCGTTGTTGTTTACTCACTATATATAAGTATGTAAGTACATTAAATTGCTCCGCGCGCTTTGCACAGCGCAGTGCTGCGTCAAAGTCAAACGAACTGAGCGCAGAACAACTCAGCAGTTGAGAAATTTTATTTCATTGCGGAGCATTTTAGTCGTTTATCGATTTCACAAGGTTTAGAAGTGTTTTACGACAGTATTTGTTGGAAAACAGAAGAAAGAACATTTCGAAAAAATACCAAAAACAAAAGTGAAACAATAAGAAATTTATTGAGTTGGCTGTGTGGTAAAAGTTCAAATTGATCAGTGTACATGTGCGTAAAAACGTTGGTGTTGCCAGTTTTGGCTAAATTCAACACAAAGTGAGTTGCGGGTGTGTAAAACAACTTATGAAATAATAAAAATGTGATGCGCGCGAAAGTGATAATACAATATTCTGCTACGTAATTTTTCTTGTATTTAGATTTAACAAAGATCACAAATTTACAACCACATTCACGTGACATAATGAACATTGTAAAATAGCGACTACTTGCAAATAACAGATTTAATGTTTTATGTAAACAAATGTAATATTTTACATATCTTTATGATCAGTATTTGGTACATTCTTACCTAGTAACTACATATGCAGGGCAGGAAAAGGACTGTAGCATATACATACATACATATGTACATAAATATAATGTCCGTATAATTCCGTGCTTTACAAAAGCAATTTTTAATATAATTCTGCATGAATGTTTTCAAAGGATAATACGATAATACCAAAGATTGTGCATCTTGCTCTAAACATATGAATACAGGAATAGACAAAAACATTGGCTTAGTTTTATAATTGATTCTACATAACAAAAATTCAAATATAATACAAACAAGCGGATGCATGGAATTAGGTGATAGTTTCTGAAAGGATTAAAATGATCTTGTCTATCTAGTGTTTGTAGATATATCAAGAGTTTGTCCGTAAATTATATACTGTCTTAAACTTCATAGTAATGACCGACAATAATTTTATTAATTGAAAAGATATACGCTATACACGAAAAAATAAGAAAACCCTTATTTTTAAAGACTTTTAGGCTTGACTTTTCACCTTGAAATATAATGACTACATTCAAGAATAGTAGTGTGTAATAGAAGTATATATTATATACATCAAAACAAACATATGTGTTTGTATATCTACAAATAACTGCATTTTGCTTTATACATGTTCAAATTTATGTCACAAGCATTTCCGGTATGATCTTGTTTGGCTCATTCCATTCAAACATATCTCAACATTTTTTTAAGTGTACGCAGGTCATTTACGCGGAAAGTTGCCAAGACTGAACAACCAACGAAAAAGTCAACATACATATATGCGCAGCTAACTAAAAACCTATCAAAACAACTGCAAACACAACAAAATTGCGAATAACATGCTTAGTTATACTAACAATGAACGAAAATAAAAACGATATTTATTCATATACATACGCACTACCCCCATATGTATATGTAAGTGTGTGTGTACATATGTGCAAATGTATTGTACTAATGTATACAAATACAATAAAGAAGAAGAAACAATATTTAATATGAATAAAATAACGAACAAAACAAATATGTAATTGAAATGGAATGTTTATGTGGAAACAAAGAACTAAATTCAAACTTACAGATACTACTATCTGTTGTAAATTCCTACACACACGTATGTACGTAAAAATTCGTATGTGTGTTTTTCGTAGAATGGCAAATGTGTCACCTTTTTGACAAAGTTATTTTCTTCGGAAGTTCTGCGACTGTATAGCCCATTTGAGCGGATAAAATTGTTCAAGTGGAAATTGTTTTACTCTGCGCTTGTAGTAAGTAGTACACCTGATCTACGGACTCTCCAGAATATCTCCTAAGCTGTAAAACATCTTTCAAGCTAATAAAAGTCCTTAATATTTTATTAAATATTTTCGAAACACAATTCTTTTGTATTCCTATGCACATATTACCACATACACTCGCTAGAAAAAGTCTGTATACACTCTAATATCTTATTTTCTTTCGTTAAAAAATAAATTTTATATACCAAAATTTTAGAGCATAATCATATTAAGTGCTTTATTACTAGCCTTTTGCATAATCCCATAGCATTTAAAGCAAAGATAATCTGACACCATAGTTTTATAGACAAATTAACAAAAATAGTGGTAATAATTTGGCATCGCTTACAAATAGTAAAATGAGAATTCCCTACGAATGACCAAATGTAAAAGTGTCGGAAAGTTGTAGTTTTACTTGTTTTCGTAAAAGTAGCAATTTTAAAAGATTTTTGTTATATTAAATTTGTTATTAAATTTAGAACATCGAATCTCGCCTAAAAGAAAAGAAATAAGCCCCTCTGAAAAGGAAATAATGGTTAAACTTATCGAAGAAGGAAAAACATACCCTGAAATCGGTCGAATTGTTGTAAGAACACATTCTTTCATACAAATAGTAATCAAAAAATTACAAACATACCGCCGTTTTTGTATCTCGGCGCGTCCAGGGCGGCCAAAAATACTAGCACAGCGTGAAACTCGCAAGAAAAAAACTGGTTTTATGGTCAGAAAGTAGAAGTTATTTTTTCCGATGAGAGCATGTTTTGCGTCTTTGGAATCAAGGGGCGCAAGATCTTATGGCGAAAAACGGGCACGGCACTCGATAAAAGGCACTTATATAAAGTTATTTTTTCCAACAATTTATTTTTGTTGGTACCTTGAACGCAGACTTTTTCTGCCCAGTGTATGTACATACATATATACATTAAGATATTGTATCCTGGAATGTCCAATATAAGTATTTCTACATGCACATATACAATGAACCAAAAAAAAAAACTTGTACAGAGAAATGTTTTGGCTTTGAAGGAATTTTTCTCTTAAAGTATCTGAGCTTTTAAGCTGCAACCAACAGTAACAATATGAGGATCTTATGTATTTTTCGTATTTTCATACAAATTGTAACAATAAATCATTGTGATGCTAACCATTTCAAAAAATTAAAATATCTCACCTTTCAGCAGCCAAAAAAAATTGTACAGTTACATACGTTGGCAACACTTTAATTGCAGTTACCAAGTAGGTACGCCTCAGACTGAAAGTAAATTTGCTCGGTGAATCAAGGAACACTTCAAAATATCCGCTGTTGCTAACCCCAAGGAGTTTGAGGAAGCTGGCATTGCAAAACTGCTCCCTCAGACTGTTTGGAACTTCTTGCTTTCACCTGATTATAGAGCGTGTACACCACGAAACCAGCCACAATTATCGAAGAGAAATATTGCGAATCGTTTACTATAATGGGATTCTGTAACTTTTACAGATGAGTCCAAATTGTATTTAGGCAAATTTAGTTAGACAGTCTAATCGCTGAAAGATAAAAATTTAAATAATAAATAACAGACTGCAAATCATGGTAGAGATCAAAGGTGCACATACAAAGCATTAATTTTCCTTAAAGAGTGTTAAAATGTCAATCGAAAATGGAGTTATTTTGGATTTTTTAATTGTTTGGATAAAACTAGATTTTAAAAATAAATTTCAATTACATATGAAAGCTAATAAAATGACCTTTTTCTCACTTTTAAATGCAACTCAAAAGTTTTAATAGTTTAGGAGATAAGTCACTTCAAAGGCAAACCATCGTGCTGTACAAGTTTTCTTTTTGGATCTGTATGTGCAAAAATACAATAAGCAAACTTGAACTCATAAAGCGAGTAATCTGAAGAAATCGCAAATTATTTTAAATATGCACATACATACATATATGTCAAAATGAAACGCTGCTTCGTTATGTACCCGCAGATTTTGCAATATATGTATGTATATATATTAAAGAAAGTGGTGTTACTTACATTATTTATAACTCAAGATCGGCTGAACCGATTTGGTGAGGAAGTAGCTTAGAACCAGGGGACGGACATACATACATACTTTTAATATTTTTATGTTAAAAGGCAATTCATTAATTTAAAAATTATATTTCAAATCATAAGCATGTGTTCAAAATTCATGTAAAAATCATTTGAATATTTTATTACATCAAAAAAAAAATAAAATAATAACACCTAGTTACTGCAAGTAATTTTTGAACAAGGTGGATAACACATCTAAATGGCATTATTTTTGCAAAGTTTTAACCCGATATTTTAATTGGCTCTCAAAGTTGGTGAAATAGCTTGTATAGCTAGAATAGGTGAACAAAAGTGTTATACTATGTAGCAAAATGTTGAGCGTACAAAAAGGGGTGTAGCAGGGCACGCAGGGCACAGCTAGTTCTTTATTAAAAGATTTTATGTAAAAAGATGTGTAAGACTATTGTTCTCTATAAAGTACATTTTTTACCCTTTATTTGCCACGATGTTCGTAACACCCAAAAGTTAACGTCAGAGACCCTAAAAAGTATATATGTACATATATAAATGTTCAGCGTGGCGAGCTAAGTCGATTTAGCCATATATGTATACCTATATACGAGCTAGACCCTCAGTTTTTGAGATATCGAACTGAAACTTTGCGCTCGTCCTTTTCTCATCAAGAAGCGGCTCTGATATCAGACCACTATAGCATATATCTGCCATACAAACTGAGCGATCAGAATAAAGTGTTTGTATGGAAAGCTGCCATTGAAATTGAACGATCGGAATGAAGTGCTTTTTTGGGAAACTTTTTCATTTGAGGAGATGTTTTAACGATATTTTCATTCACTCATTGGGGTATACTGCTTTTTAATATTAAGGTAATCATATTATAATTTTCATAATATCTCTCATATATTTTTGTTATATCCTCATGGGAGATATTTAGAGAAAAATTGCATTGAGACATTGAGTCTATTAATTCCAAACAAACTTTGATAACAATCTTTTTGCACTACAACATCAAGTATCGCGTGTTTTTCGCTCCTCGAACAACAATAGTGTTTATTATGATAATAATCATATGGAAAGATATGGCTTCAAATAGTCACCGACGCTAACCCGTGGACCGAGTCTGCTGATATGACCTCTCTTATGAGAGCGCAATGTGAATGAACACCCACCACCTCTTCTTTTTCTATTAAAAATGTAATTATGTAGATTGTGTGGTAATAAAATTTACATATTAAACCCTTGTATATCCAAGTATTTCTTCTCTCTGTCCAGTAAACAATTCTTTCAAAGAAATTTCATTACCACGCCTACAAAACCCGTTTATCGTAAAAATATAAAGTGTCTCTGTCATCAATTAAACTACATAGCTCAAATTAGGTACAGAAGTGCCTTGTGCTTGACTGTTGCATATGCTGGAGCACATTTGCCGTAACATCAACGGTGTCTTTTCCCATTTTACCAAATCAAAAAATTCACTTCCTTTTTAAGAAAACAAAAATAGCAGAAGTAGCATCACTTTTAAGATTAACGCTAAGTACTTTTAAGCAAGGATAGAGATTTTCTGTTTGTGACGCGGTCTTACCTAAGGAAGTCGAAAATAGGTCGGAATATCCCATAAGCATTCGTTGGCAGATATCAACTACAATTATAGTATATTACCTAATTCAATATTATATTGCCTAAAATACCTAATTATTGCATGGGTAATTTGTTAATATTTATTCTTCTCAATAACAAGCAATTTTGAATCGTAGAAAGTAAACTTTCCAGATGTCTTCAATAAGTCGCTTTTAAGTCGCAAGCTCTGCAGGCAAAACAAAATGTTTCTCATCGAAATGAATTATCATCTGAGTATATATCCTTTCCTTTTGGTATTTTGGACTGGTATACTGAAGATAAGTTACTTACAATAGATATCCTGGAACGACTATTACATACTATTGTTTACTTTAGAATGTACAAATTTTTATATGCATACGTTTTGCATTAATTTAACAAAGTTAAACTAAAATTAAAGACAAATCCGAGATTTAAAATGTTTATCTAATAATGGATATTGATTAATTTCATAATAGCAAGGAATTCCCATAAGTCGCTTATGCAGCAACTGCAAACGCCCATATTATTAGCGCCAATCGATTTTAATCTAACAGCGCAACCGCGCACGCTAGTAAACCGAATAATCATGGAATGGACCAACGATGAAGCACTTGAACTAATCGAACAATATCGAATCCATACCGAATTGTGGAATCGTGCTGATCCCAAGTACAAAGATAAATTATGTCGCTTTCGAGCGTGGTCAGAAATAGCGGAACGTTTTGGGTGCAGCAAAGCTGAGGTGGAACGAAAGATGAATGTGTTACTTACACAGTATCGACGGGAGAAACACAAAATGCTTATTAAATTATACCAGGGAATTCAGCCGAATCCGTCAAAGTGGTACGCGTTCAAAAGGTTCGATTTTATGGAGGCAGGTGGCGGTAGCGGTAGTAGTTCATCGAGCAGATCGGGCACAAATGGACATACATCAACGTCGACGGCAGCAAGTTTGAACGGCCTTAACTCTTACGAAACCATAACAGCAACGGCGCAGCAGACAACAAGTGCAGCCATCGCGGTGGCAGCGACGACTGCAAACGCCGCGCCGAGCACTTCTCAACATCGGCGCATGAAGAAAGAGATGAAGTATTTTGGTGCGGTGAGTATCCTATCATCCAATGACACATCGCATTACATTCGAGAAAACATTGTATATACATATGTATGTATGTATCTGAAGGAAGTACTGGTTGAATATGCCACACATCTCATGGTTGTGAGCAGTGTTGTCATATCGGAAAATATCTTTGTATTTAAGTACTGGGTTTTAGGATTTCAATAATTTCCGAATAAAGTAATAATAATTAATAAAAACCGGATAAATAACATTTATGATACATATGTAAATTAATTAATTTAAAAATATAATAATAATATCAATTTTTTATCCTACATATTAATTAATATTAATATATACAATATGCACATAGCTAACACATACATAAGCACATACCTAACTATTGCATTTAATGCGAAGTGTAATTGGACGACTAAAACACTGTTTGACGCGATGGCGCTTACGCAATTTTGGTCAAATCCAGTCGCAATAATCTCGAAATATGAAAAGAAGTGATCTCAACTTGAAAATTCAAAATACATTCAGAAGTACCATATTCATACAAACAAAAGAATGTACTTGTAGTCAGGACAGTTTCTTGATTTTAATAATTTACTGAACTATGTGGATTTGGTAAACGGTAGACACAGGGAAGTGATTGCAACGAAAATCTTTTGACGGCTCTAGTTATATGGGCAATTAGCTGTATGAAAGCAATGAAGTTATTTGTGAAAACATCCATGATTTTCAAAAATCAACGTTCCTTACCTATTATTACCTATTTCTTAGTGGCAATGATGAGATATGGGTATAAATACATGTTTCAGTTATGAGAAAAGCCCTTACTAGCTCAAAATAGTGAATGTCTGTCAAACATGTTGGCAGTTGATAAGTTTTCATATCAATTAAAAATTCATGGTGTGATAGGATGATTGTTAGGAAACAAGATATTTCAATAAACATATCATACCTGCATGTACATAGTTTGGGGTGGATGAGCAAGTATATACAGATATACAAGGACAGACATATGAGATGATTCTTGGTGATCCTTGTTCTTATCTTATTTTACTTTTTTAACAGTTTAGTTGTGGTGGATGAGCGAGTATATACAGAGGCATACAAAGGATTCTTAGTGATCCTTATTCTTATCTTATTTTACTTTTTTAATTTATAATTTGATGTTTGAAAGTCATAAATCTTATCGTATATATAATACAATTTCTCGCTTATGTAAAGCAAATGAGTTTTGATGACAATAAATATAGAACATCAATTGTATTCGCCTAACAGTTGTTAAAAATGTATAGTTATTTATATCATTTATATACTTATTATAATATTCACTCGTATATAATATAAAAGATGGTATACATATAATATAATAATGACCTCAAGCACTAGGGGAGGGAGGGATTTAAACTAAATTAAGTACCTATGATGTATAATATATTGATTAAAATCCACCCCGTCAATTTTGTTCCATAATGTCATCGCTCAGAATATAAAATACAATAATAAAATTACGTCGAATATTTAGTTAGCTTACTGTTGAATTGAACAGAATAACTTGACTAATGTTATATCCTCGAGTGATAATGCATATACTGTACTAGAGAATTTTGGTTAAATTCTAGTATGGCTCTCTTAAATGTTATGAGATGAATATTAACCACTAGTCATATCTGATCATTGTTTACGTGGCATAGGCATTATATCCAATTTTTGTGCATATAAATATGTTTGTATTTGACCACAAACATCGTTTTTGCAAATTTATCCGAGTCCATGCTCTGGAAAAATGTCCTAGTTCATATAAATAAGTGAGTATTCAACACTGTGACTGCGAGGACTACTGTGTATATTTCGTACACATGTGTACAGACAGGTGTATATAGCATGTATTTACTTATGCTTGTAGTATGTTCATGCGTGTTTACGTTTTAACTCAATGTTTTTCTTCCACTTTTGTTATTACTTCTCAACAACGCGTTCATACAAAACAAAAAACAAATTATGCATACATCTGTACATACCTACCATATGTGTAGGTAAATAAATATGTAAGTACGCTTGCTGGTTCACCACCCCTCATGAAAAAATGTACAACAATACCAAATGAACAAAATAATAATAATAACAGAGGTAAATATCAGCATTTACAAATTTACATTCGTATGTGCTATGCCGAACAAATTACGAATATTTTTATGTGAATGCTCACACATGCTAACGTTAATTATACCCAGCAGCAAAATTAACAAAGTAAATTTATAAAGTACATTGCAAATGGCTACTAGTGTTTGAAACTGTACAGTAACATACTTGTAGTTACATGAATAAGAACCTACATCTTTATAAATACTTATGCTTTTTTTTATGTATTTATTGTACATGTATGCATATGTAGATTTTTGTATGTACAGAATTTGGTAAGCTAAAAGGAATTTTGTAAAAAAATATTTCGTGAGATTAAAATGTGTTGTGGCAAAACTTATTATTATGGCGAGTGCATTTGTCGAATGAGCGGCGTTGGCTTAGCACTCGCGTTGCTGCGAGCACGATTCTGATTGAGTTATTTGTTCATTGAATGGGATGATAATCAGTTTGTTTACATTTTAGATGTGCCATGTGTGCACACTGCCGCAGCGCCGTCAAACAGGCAGCGCTTTGGTTCTGGAGATCACAAGTTCCTAGTGCCCACTTTGCGCGCCAAACCGCTCCCTGATACAACCACTTACCGCAAAACTCGATACACATATTTATACATCTACAACGTAAAATCCCTTTACAAATGGTGAGTACTCCATGTATACATTAAAAAAGAGCAGAGAGTATTCCTAAATTATTCACATCCATTTTGATGTCCTAGGGTCTAAATACTTGAACTCTGCATAACTTTTGAGTACTCCTACTACTCTCTAATCATTACAGCATGGAGTACTTGCGGAAAATAACTTTCGAAACTACTTTTTCTTGTTGTTATTTGCAAATGGAAATTTTGTTCCAACTCATGGCATAAGTAGCATAATTTGACTTACGAAATAAAGTTTGCGACAACTTTGACACGTCACTTTTTAGTGTCGTGTTAAACAGAAAATACGTTATTAACGAAAATATTTTTATAGATTTAATAATCAATCTTTCGTTTTATGGACTATGTCGCAATATTGTCACTTTTATTTGCGTACTCAAATATAGTTAGTTAATTACGCAGCGGTCGTGTATTCAGGGAGCAGTTTGTAGAATACTTTAACCCAACATGACCAAACAAAATTGAAAGGAATATACCGGAAGGAAGTAGGTCTATCACTTGACGCCATATCTCCATGCTTAAATATATCAACACATGTACGTACTCTGTTCATAGGTACTTATACAAGTATATGGAATTCTGTCGTTATTTTTATTCGCGTTAACAAAATAATAATCACAAACACAGGAACATTTGTACACATAAGAAAATAAGAATTTATATCGACAACAAAAAGAAATCGTAACAATAGCAACAACAATTAAAGCAAAATTTTCATAAAAACAAAGCAAAATTAAAGTATTGATAATTTTACACACTCCGAGACAGCGGTTGATTTTAAAATAGGGTTACCACTACTTTTAAATAATCGAATTTTTTTCTTTGGAAACATTTTGCCAACTAGTTCAATATGCTTCTTAAAATTTTGTAGCAGCCCCCAGGGAGTGTAAAGAGTATCAATTACCATAATTTACAACATTAAATTCGCCGGTTGGTTTAATGGAAAAGAACATGGACGCACAAGAAAAATTTTAAAATAAAGTTTTGAGTTAATCATTAATGTATATTAGAGGTAATGCATTGATTGTAGCTGTCATAAATATATGTACATCCCAAAACTCACCGAAGTAGTGAAGACTTTGTGTAAGAATACATACTGTGTGTGCATCTCAAAGAGCTCGACACAAAGATGTTTACAGGACATACTATGTATAACCAATTTAGTCGTGTTTACAATGAGTTGTTTAATAAATGCATTGAATATCAATCATATCGTTTATGAAATATAAATTAACTACATCCATTGTACATAAGTATATCGTTGTGTTATACTCACTCAGAATTGACAATTAGAATGATATTATCCGTGACGATACGCATACTTTCGCATGTTTGTGGGATCTTATAGATAACTTCAAACTTATGCGGTGGGATACCTTATCAATCACTTACCATAACTTCTATACTAAATTATTCATGGTTTAGGTCGGATTTCCTATGAAAACATCATCCGGTGTCTGACAACACTAATTATTCCAAAACGGTCTGTAATAGTAGAGTACATTATTTCATGAGCACCTCATAATACAGACGCCATAACTTTGCTAGCAGGTTGTTGCATATGTCCGTAACCAATTTTCATCAAAATATCTCATATTGTTAGGTGATACAAACAACCGTTAGGTAAAAGAAAACTACTATGGTAGCAACAGGTTGCAAGCGTATAAAAATGCTTCGAAAGAATTCAACATTAATTATTCGACATAAGGGTGAAAGGATTACATGTTTCACATCTTATTAAATTATATTATAGGTCATAAACTCACCTATGTAGTTTCAACACTACATTTTGTGTTTTGCTTCTTCGAAATATTTATATTCAAATCAAGTTAATCAACTTAAATGAGATAAATGTGATATTAACTCACTGAAGAGGCTAAATTAAATATATTGGGTATATGTGAAAACATCAATCAGAGAATCGAAAATCAGTATATTAGGAATATGATTTTTTTTTTCAATTGACCCCAAGTTGAGAAACGGAGAAAAACGTCGCTTAAGTAATTATGATAACTTTCTAAGGTTTACATTAATTTGTATAGTAAATATACTTAAATTTACCAAGGGCTATCTTTATTTTGACTATGCACATAGTATACCAATAAATTGAGCTTATTTTTTTCAAAGAGCGCGAATATCTTAAAAACGTACATTTAATTTAAAAATCCTTTCACCGATTTAATTTTTTTTATAGAGATTTTAAAGGTTTTTTTCTTTTATTGTAGATGGGTATAAGCTTACCGTTGCTGATAGCCAGTAACACGGCATTAGATACATGGAACACAGTTGGCCAATATTCACCGCCAATCGATAGCGATCGAACCCCGTTGCGAGTTCCCTTACCTATGCCCTTCCCAAACTCGCAAAGTGAAATGAATGTGGCCGGTAGTGCAACGCGTAGCCTTTTCGGTGGAAGTAGTAATAGTGATATAACAGCCAGTCCTCAAAAGCCAATGGAATCCTCAGATATTGAAGACAAAGATGAAATATTAACAACACGTGAACGTTCAACACCGTCCAGTTTACACAACGTAAGCGGAAGCAGCGCCATCGCAGCTCATGTTAGTTGCGTTGGTAATACCACTATAACTGAAAGATGCAACAGTGATAGTACTTGTGGTATTAGCGGGCGTAGCGGTGTAGAGGGAGCAATCGTTGAACCAATCGATGGAGGTTCTAGTCCTATATCTAGTGTTAATGAATTGCACGAAAAGCGGCGCCGTACTACGCGCGACCATGAGGAGTTAGACATAAAACGAGAACTCGTAGATTACTTTCACCCCCCTCATCCCCCAGCTCCGCCCGATTCCCATCGTTCATATAGCTCCATTGATGAGAGCCGAATCGGAGGAGCTGATCCTGATGATTTTGCACAAGATTTGCGCGTTAGCGCGGCAGCCGCTGCTGCGGCTAAAGGCATAAACTTCAGCCAATTTGTACTACCACGGAATTTACGCCACTCTTCAGAGTCGATAGATGAGAAATTTTCTCCACTCAATATGCGTAAACTGAGTTCAGTATCGGCCACAGCCTCAACCGCAGGGCATATGCTCATGAATTCCTTACTATCTAACGAAAGCTTATCAGAGGAAACTGCCACAAGCACTAGTGGACGCATCAAAAGTGCATCCCAGGAAGCTGCATCCACATCTGCGGCAGCTGCTGCAGCTGCTATTTATGCTGAAAGTCTGAATAAAGATGATTGCGATTTCATTGGATCGAATGTTACACTAAAACTCCGATCGATGGACCGCACCCAAAGAATCATAGCCGAAAAATTAATAAGTGAAGTTCTCTTTTATGGGCAATTCAACGAGCTAGAACGAAATGCTCACATCCAACCTAAGTGACAGCAGCTAACAAAGCTACGTAAGGGTTTCTAAATATAACGAAAACAGAGTACAGAATTCACAGTTTCCTAACAAATGTATACCAAAAAAAAACAAAATTAACAAAAAGGTTTTTATAAAAGGAACATAATGAAATAAGAAGTAGTTCTTCTGCTTGGCACCCCTCCTGGTAATCGAATAATCTGACAAAAAACCATCATAATCCCTATTTGTTTAAATACATACATATATTGTTTTTATAAAATTATGATAGTTAAGAATCAACACTTATAAAATTATACAAAAATCCTTACAGTACAAATTCACATATACATACATAAATTAATTTATTTGAACAGATTTATTTAAAATTTCTTACGATGGGTATACACTGTGTTCTTAAAACTTTTTGATTATTTAAGAAATGTTTCCCGATTAGCTAGTTACACGTAAAAACTCAACTCAGATTTGAATGTTTCTATGTCTTTTTTATAAAAAGGATATTAGATCAGTAGCAAGTGTAATCAGTTATCTAGTCACGAATATGTCAGTGTGAGTGAAATTCCCTTTTTTAACGGTTTCATATATTTAATGATATTGAGAAAGTATGCTAAGCCAGCAAAAAGGAACAAGATCAATTGAAATGAATTCAAAGAATTATGTACCTCGCTTATTTTTCAGTCATCTTTTTAATACAAAATCGAAAATATATACCTTTACCTAAAACAAATATACATTGTATGAGGAATTCACTTCATACATACAAATAATAAAGTAAACCCTAATGAATAAGTACATAAAATGTAATAAGCATTTTTACTCTAAGTAAATGTGTAGTAATTCTTTTACGTTTTAATTTTTTTTTTTTTCTAATTCGTATGCTGTAATTATCGACATGTTTGTATTTGATTCAGAATATACACTATTTATAAGGAATTTTTACGATGCAAAATACAATATCCTAAATATAAGCAAAGGGAAGTCCTAAAAATAACACATATATATATATACGTGTAAAAGACGTGGTACATACATACAGTTGTACATAAAATTATAAATACAAATTGGTGTTAAATTTAAACGATCGATTTATAGATTTTATATGTATATATGAAGAGTGACTGATAAATATCTATGCCGGACCATTCTTCATCCTTATAACCAATTCGCTGTCCAATGTAGCATAAAGATGGCCGTAGGTCTTTATCGACCACAATGAACGAAAACATAGTAAAACTTTTCTAGGATGAATATACGTTGTATTTCAATTAATTGTTGTGCTTATGTGCTATGTATTCCCAGAATTCAATAGAATGTATATATGAAATAAAAAGTAATGAAATTTTTATATATTACTATTTTTTTACAAAATTACTTGAATACAAATTGGTAGAGAAGATAAATGCTTTTAATAAATCTATGAATACGTGTGGAAAACTAAAACGAATTATACTGTACCTTATTTGAAAGAACTTTAGTCGTAAGGTTTTTTTTTATAATTTGATTATATATACTGACTGCAAACATATATATACCTACTAGTTAGAAACAATTTTAGAAATGTGACAAATAATGACATGATTTGTAAAACTGAATATAAGAATTAAATAAAAATGGATATAGAAAAAAATAAATGTATAATTTTCATTCAATAATGTCGAAATTGAAATTTATTGTACATAATATTTTTAATATGACGACAATCACACCGTTCTTATGGGTAGGTAATTATGTTCTTCATTTGAATTTTGGATAAACAGGGTTGGAGCAGCAAAAAAAGAAGCTACCGACCGAATAAAAATATTGTGTCAAGCTTAAGTTGATCCTGGTAACGTAAAACTGCTGCTGTAAGAATAGTCTAAGAGGTTAAGGCTAAAAAGATTGTCCAGAGAACCGCATTATACATAACTGCATAAAGCCAGCTAACAAACATCTACTCAATGGAGACATCGAATATAGGTATACTTATCCGGTCAGACAATGTCTTGCTAAAATATAATACGTTTGTATATGCACGAGTATAAAACGTTGTCTACTGTTTTAGTATACAGAGATATAGCTTGCGGTCATAACGTTATTACAAATTTTTAACAAATAACCAAGATTTTCGAATGCACGAACATTGGTTTCAAAATATGCTTTACTCAGCTATTATCGATCTTTCACAAGAAATAAGTTATAGTATCTCGGATAGCGTTCGTGCGTATGGGATGCGTAAATTATCAAATATTTAAATATATATTTTCTACAATGATAGCAGGATACACAAACAGCAAAGTGGAAGGCATTAAAATACGCCTATTGAGATAAACATTGTAGTCCTTTATTAAAACGTTTAATCTGTGGTAGCTTCAAAGTATGTTACCAAAAATTACTGCATTTAGCTGTAACGATTAACTTTTTGGAATTTTATGTAATACGAACATAATTTTTTTTTTTAATTTTTAAAATGCTAATAATTTTATTTTCCACACATTTTTTTCAAATAAGGGAGAAACAATAATTTAACAATTTGGTTCTGTTTTTATATTTGAGTTTGCACAAATACGTCTGCGTTTGATTTCTTGATGCGTTATTGAGAATAAATTGCATATTCTGGATGTGGTCTTCATAATTTTGTGCGACGTGGCATTTAAAATTCAAATCCAAATGAAGCTCCCGGCCCTGTTCCACTGCTAAACTGGAAGAAATGTCGAAACATTTGATTGGGATCAAAATCTGAAAAAAAAATACAATTTATATCCAAAAGTCCGTAATCTTTATCACTAACTCTGCGGAGCTTACTTAATACAACCCAAAATTTCTTTACCAACAAAATATAACTTAGAAGAAATTTAGTTTGTATACTAAGTAGATCGGATAACTGATTTGATAGTTATATAAGTAAATTAGGTTTTATGAAACCTCTCAAACATATTGTATTTTACACTGTAAAAACAAACAAAAAAATTTGTTTACCTTGTTCCTGATCCTCTATATCTTGGCCACTGTCGTATCGCATCTTTTTACGTTGGTCGGACAAGATCGCATAAGCTTCACCGATTTCTTTAAATTTTAACTCTTCCTCTTTGCGTTCTTCTGCACTGCTGTTAGCATGTCGATCAGGGTGATGAATCAAAGCTTTTTTACGGTATGCTTTCTTTATTTCATCTTCGGTGGCATTGCGTGATATACCAAGAATTTTGTAGTAATCTTTACGCTTAGACTTCTTTAAGGCAAGTTTCGCATCTCGCAATAATTTTTTAATCTCGGGAGTCTTCTGCAACTGCAATGCCGCCTCATAGTCATTCACACACTCATCAAATTTCTCTAGATCATTGTAACATCGCGCACGTAGAAGCAAAGCTTTCAGATACTGAGAGTTAATTTCCAAAACACGTGTACAATCGGCGATAGCATCACGCAAAGAGCCAATTTTCGAGTTTACCAAAGCTCGATTGTACAACAGTTTTGAATTTATGTCTTTATTAAACTCGTCAATTTTTAGGGCCTCTGTATATATAGTTTGCGCTTCTCGAAAACGGCCGGACTTAAAGAGAGTATTGCCATTTTCCTTCATTTCTTTCAGTGCTTTACTTTTGTTTCGCATCTCTTTAGCCTTTTTATGATCAGGGTCAAGCTGAAGTGCACGTTCAAAATGCAATATACCTTTCTCAAGATTGTCGGTGTAGTAAAGACACAAGCCGCGAACATATATTGCATCCGCAGAAGTAGTATCTAACTTCATAACACTTACGGCAATGTCAACTGCCTCATCACAGCGACCAAGAAATGCAAGGCATTCAGCTTTGAGCAGGCGATATCTGTAAATTAATAAAAATTAAACGGTAATTATTATATGCAAAAATGTGTCCAATGGTCTTTGGTATAAACTAACCTAAGGCAAGCTGGAGCAATAGCCAACGCACTGTCTAAATAGTACACTACATTGCGGTATGCCTTAGAATCGTAGTTTGTTTGTATCGTCTTTTCCAGCTGACGCAACTGCTGCATTCCCTGTTGTTCTACTTTGACAGCATTGCTTTGCGAGTCTAATTCGAGTACTTTTTTAATAGCTTGCTCACTACCGATCATATCCCCCATTAATAAACAACATTTGGCAATGCGTGCGTACGCTTTGTCGAATTTCGGATCTAGACGAACTGCTTGGCGAGCATCGCTTAAGGCATTTATATAGTTGGAAAGCATCATGTAACAGGCGGAGCGATTACCATAGTAAGCAGCAAAGTCAGGACACAATTGAATGGCATCAGAGTACAGTTTTAGCGCAGCATGATAATTTTGTGCTTTATATTGGTCGTTGCCTAACTTTTTTTTCTCCTCAGCAATACTGCAATAAATATGAAACAACATTATCGAAATACATCTACAAATTAGACAAATAGTTATAAATATATAAAGTACCGTATATTTATAGTAACCGTACTACAAGTATATAAAGGCAAAAAAAAAACTAAAGTAAAACGGAGTAGCATTTTTTTAATGTCAGAGTAGTAAATGCGGAAAATAGAATTATATTAAGTGAATTATAATCTTATCTAGGTGCTTTCAGGCAATGGTAGTCTGTATTTAATTGGTAGGTCCGACTTTGTTAGGTATTTGCACGACAATTTCCTTCTATTTTGAGAGGTGATTTGATGTATCCAAGAAGTTATGTAAGCTATAAAGATTTGTTTCTTTAATTAACAGGTGATAATCTCGGAGTCTGATACACCGACCTCCTATAAGCATTCTCGTATGGGGTCGGTCAAATATCTTAAAACTTTAAAACCTTTTCTTAAGCGCAACATTTTTGGTAAATTTGTTAATTAACACAAATAAATTTTTTTTCTCACAAAAAATTTTCACTTATTCAAATTGGGGTAATACCTTTTTTGTACCTTTCACAATATGAATAGAATGCTTGCTATTTATATATATATGATTATATATATATATGATATTTATCTATGTGAGAAGTACCTAATAGTGTTTAACCACAACAAATTTTAGACACGCAAGCGTCTTACATCTTTCTAAACTGCAATAAAATAACCCGACTGGGACATTTTGCAACTTCATGCCTTAACGCTATTACACTGGTTCTTTTGTTATCCATACAAAAAACAAAAAAATTTACGATATGATTTTTGAATTTCGAATAAAAACATTAAAAATAAAAAAAGTTGACAAAATTGAATATAAACAATTTTAAAAACATCGTTAACTCCAATTTCAAAATGCTTCTATCAACTGTAAAGTAAGGAGTGTAATGTTTTTTACAGATGAAAATTATATTCACAGTGACCGAGCGGGGCGGAGACAATATGTTGCGAGAAATTTAAGGGTTCAGCTAAAATATTTATGGCGGCATTGATTAACATACAATGTTATATATACAATATACATCTCCCCCTATATCATATTGTAAAGCTTTAAAATCATGAGTGACAAACAAGTTGAAGTTTATTTCCAGAGAGTTTAGTTTCTCTTTTTTATTCTGAACTCTTCTTGCGATTTACTAGAATTAGTATAATTCACAAGAACGATATTATTCTGGTCATTTGCCCTCAGTTATAAACCAAATTCAACCAAACATTACCGGAAAAGTGTATTCCTTGTTTTCAAAGACGCACTCCGATGTTTTTATAAATAATATGAAATATAAATGCAAGGTTTTAAATGGTTATCTTGGTTCACAACTTTATTCAAAGCAAGTTGTAAATGATTTAGATAGAGGTGTAGCTTGCAAGTGTAACTTAAGGTTACCATGTTAAAAAATGGTAATTAAAAATTTAAATTTTGTATCTCAACGCCCATCAGTTTATTAATACAAATTTGTGGTGATTGTTACAATTCATATATGCATAAAACCAATAGTGGCGTAATAAGTTATTCCTATTTTTTTGAATAGCGAATTATTATTGTATATCATAGAAGACATTATAACATATTTTGAACCGACAAATAAACTTGATTAAATATGCAATAACAAATAAAATAGCAATATTGTCTTTGATTGACTTTCTAAAAAGCAACCATCTTACGAGACATAACTCCTTTTTCACACCAAACGCATTGCGAAAATTTACTAAAATTTTCATAAAACCAAAGGCACCTAAAAAATCTTCTAATTTAGCTCAACACTTCAAATTCGACTACAAAATATTCACGAATGTATTGTAAAAGAAAATATTTCCATTATAGGGTAAATATGAAAAGAACACTCGTTCACAATTATAATTGGTTACATAAGCATCCATATCCATTGCATTG